GCAAGAGTTTTTGCCTGCGATAATCGAGTGGATGCCTCCCTCACACGCATCTCAGTTAAATCCCGCATACCAACACTTCCTACCCGCCAGTCTTTGATAATCAAACATCAACTTCACTCCACCCAGTAATAGATCACATCCAAGAATCTTGAAAACATCATTTTTGCTCTGAATGTGGTGTATCTTATCCAATACCCTCCAGATGTCATCATCATCCACGTAATCTGTTGGCCTTAGCTGATCGGCGTTAGTCATCAATTTTTGATGGTGTTGCTTGACGGTCAGAGTGAGCAGGTCAGCCAGCTGGATCAGTTCATTACGGCGAGGTGGTGGACGCTTGGGGTTTTGATTGAACGTTGGTGCATCAACCTCGGCATTCTCGTCTTCAACAGTATCCCAAGAAGCCATTGGTGCGGCGACTTCCAAATGTGGCAGAATATCCGGATTTTGAAGTCCAGCTTTGAAGTTGGCCATGGTAAGCCATTTCATTTGTGCAGCCAACTTCCTGCATACTTCAGGCTCACAATTTGAGCAATGGCAGGCACACATTCCCGCTTTTTCTTGTTGAAGTTTCTCTTCTACATAGATTTCTTTGTTGTCACTCATGGGAATTCTTCCAAGTCTATGTAGAGGAGGAATTAGCCTTGCACAGTTTGAGTTACATTTAATCAAAAACATACAGGTTACTCAAAGTCAAGGCAATCCGCAAGCAGACTGGAGTTACAGCCAACCCATCCATTAGATCATCATCAGAAAACTCCTTCAGGCCTTCAAAATCTGACACCGAGTTCTTTCCATGGAGACGTCTCTTTTCAGTGTAGAAAACGGTGAGGCCTGGTTTACCATTGCGTCCACATTGTCTGATAATTTGAGATACGGCAGCAGCATCTGCCCTTCCAAATTGGACACCTGGCAAACTCAGGTCCAATTTCGACCCAGACCTAAGGCTAAAGTACATGCAATGATAGGATAACAAGACGCTGCGTAGTTGGAAATATTATTGGTCTTGTCTGTAGGCCCAGTGTTTGAGTGAAACCTGCAAGCAAAGGTGCTTTTGGGGTCCCTTTCACCTTTCAGAACCCCTCGCGCGCCATTGAGTACCTTGAGTACCTTCTTGGTTGACTTTCTTGTATTTGAATAGATTGAAGTAGGTGGCAAATCATTATCAGAGACTTTGCGTTTCAATGCGAAATTGGAGGAGAGATCTTCAAGGGATGTTTGTGATTTCTGCATTGCTAATCGAAGAATTGTAATCTCAGGACGACACAATTCACCTTCCACATAATCAATATCAAATCTTCAAATCTTTAAATTAGCATAGATTAGATCACGGTGTCTTGGTGGACATGTGGCAGACATCAAAAGTATTGGGACTCGATCAGTTGAAGCCAACCACATTCCCATTCTTCCATAAGACGGACGGAAGATCCCTGAATCTTGAACACTCTTCACCCATGCAAGGTGCTTTTTCCCGCTCTCTACAATCCCCCATGTATAGGTCATATGCGCTTCATCAATCACCTTCAAAACCAAGCAATCGCGAAACCACTGAGAAAAGTACATCTGCTTCAATCTCTCGTCGTTGAGAAATATTTCCGGGCTCTGTACAGAATAACACACAATATCAGAACCCTGAGATTGTTGGTGAATAAGCTCAGATCAAACATACAACATATAATACACTGTAAGCACCGTTTTTGCAGAGAATTGGAGTATCGCTGGAATTGGGCGAAAGCGTCTCCGGGCAAAAAATGACCCAGACGCCACCATCGGTTGTACGTCTACATACCGAGCCCCACCGAGCCTGTGATGTGGAAGGTGGCTCTGATTTATACACACCGTACCGGTACAGCGAGGTGCCAGTGAAGCTTGTTCTACAAGCTCTTACTCTCTCTTACTCTTCTTGCTGGTGAAGTTGAGAGTACAACATAATTGTTTCTAATATTTGCAAATTGCAAACAACACTCCGAAGAAGGGAAGTGTGAAAATACTCAGACGGAGATGTTGGCGGACAAAACCTCGTATTGTCAGATCAAAAAGGTGTTGAAAGAGCAATAGCAAGGTGTCAAGCGATTGAGGATTCCCTTATCGAATGGTGCTGAATAGTGACCAAGCATCACAAAGATGATTGATCTAATCCTATTAGACTAGGAGACCCAAAGTAACAAGAGCCTACAGGAATGTACCAAGAATCATGATCTCATTTCATTGACATCGTAGCTGATGATGAAAAAAAGGAAAGAACGATCTAATGAAAAAATGAAAAAACGAGAACGCTTGTTGGTTTGTCATACGCTTATTTGGCCATAGCTTATGAGCTTATAATTGAACGCCTGAACATCATAGCTGTCCAGTAAGTTCCTCACATGTTGCTCTCTTTCTCTGCTCACTGATTCTCCTGGGCCATCAGATAGACCAAGATTTTTTGCTTGCTCTGCCTGAAAGCACGTCTGAAGAAGCTCGAATATCCTGGTCAACGTGAGTCTCCGTGAGCTCCGTGAGTTGAGTGGCAATTTGTATTGAACTACTCTTACAGCGAGTATAGGTTTTGTACAGGCTGTCTACCTTTTCGCCCACTTTTGCCCATTTCCAACGATCCTCGAATGCTCCCCGTTTTTGATATCATCCACTATTATATCTGAATGTTTCGCATGTACAATTGAAAGCATTGATTCCAACGGTGATCTTTTCGCTCACCTGCAACAATAAAGATGTACAAGAGTCAGATATCCAATCTGTATATTCCTCCCTCAGTATATAAGAAAAGTAAGGTTCTTGACCAAACTTAACTAAGTCCCTCTTGAGCGAACAAGCCGCTCAAACGAGGGACTTAGACGCTATCTCGTTTTTTTGGCGTGAGATCGGCCGGTACATCTGGCCAAATTCTACGCATCTCACTGCACTCAAATCTCGCAAACAAAAGCTCACATAGTCTCTAATGAAAGACATTCGCACTCTTGCCAGCTAGAATTTGCCCTTCTCGGATTTTCATCAACTCAAAAAACATGAAAGATAAGACAAAAAATTGCTTTGGGCCTAAGACCGGGGCCATAGGTCTACACATGACGCTGCCATGCTGCGCGTCAGAAAGGTTTCAAGCCGAATCAAAATCGTTAAGATCAAACAGCAGTTCTTCATGCCCAGACACCTTAACCACAATGCATTTTCTGCAACCTCCGAGGCCGAATGTCAGCATTAGGCATGGAAACACGCGCTGAGCAGCAAAGGCCACATACTTTATTCATTACTCGCTCAACAGATCCGCAAGCAATTCATCCTCATCAGACCCTGGAGGTGGTACGTTGTCAGGACTCGGAGGCGGAGCGTATATCTCCAGCTCCTCCAACTGTGGCCACAAATAAATATATCATCAGCGAGCCAGTTCCTTCGACATTAAGACCAGCAGAGAGCTCTTACCTCTCTGTAAATATATAATTTCCAGACGTTGTCCGCGTTTCCAGAAGTGTATACAATGCCTTTGATCATGTTGAGGAGGATGATGATACGACCTCGCTTCGCGTCATCATTCGCGAGCCATTCAGTGCGATAAGGTCTGAGTTGAACATGATTGGGTTTGAGTAGAGTATGCAAGAATCGCAATACGGTCATATTCTTCTTCACGATGAAGTTGTAGATATCCACAGTTTTTTCGATACGTGTGGCCTCACGGGGGGCCCCAGTGGACCCCCAGTCCGACTTTTGACTTGCCAAATTGATAAAATCCGCAATGGTTAATCCTTCCAGCTCGATCGCCTGCTTGATTCTGAGGAGGGAATCAAGCCAGGGTTCTGGCTCGAGTAGGCTGGTTGGTCTGGCCGCAGTGGAGTGGTGTGAGGGGTTTGGCTCCATGGGTAGGATGGACGAGATGTGCCAGTGGTCTGCCGCGGGTTGATAAGTCGAGGACTGACTATATAAACCAGCTGGACAGACAGCGCTCTGATGTTCGGCGAGCAAACAGAAAACATGTTTCCCGAAGCGTGGACAAGTTTATAAGTTACTGAGGAAGATGAACCGAAAGGTATGATGAATACCTTTCAGGCCAGTGTATGAGCCCTCGAAGTGATGTCAACGCGTTTGAGACCTGGCTGCCTAGCGCGTGAGGAACAGGCAAAGCCCATCCACTGCTTCGGAAGACTAACCATTTGAGTCATATGAAACGTGAGGCAACTGGTGTGACGCAGCTACCCCATGGCCTGACCCTCGCTAAAGCTCACAAGTGCTTCCATCCTTTCGGTTTGGGACATTGGGCACACTATACGACGTCGCCACCTGAAACATGAGGGGGCAGATATTGTAATATAACAAGGTATAGTTGTTTACTGGCGCGTCACGACTCTAAACAACATGAGAAGAACATCCTCCCAGTCGGAGAGGTATGTGGGTGTCTGTGCCCTAGAGCCAATAGAATGCTATTAGATTAGGCATGGGTGGTCCGTTTGCCCGAGGGTATACGGACAAGTTGGTCCCTAAGCGTCCATCCCCCTCCTGGTCGCTGAGCTGTCCACACCGAAAGACATTTGTCTATGCCTGACATGTCGTTAAACGCGAGTGTTACACTGGAAAGTGGTTCACCTAACAAGGCCACCCCCGCGACAGTGCGAAATACGATATTGATATGTGATTTCATTAATCAGCTGAAGATGTCCCCTAAAGAATTCATGGTTACATTTCTATCTTCGACTCACGAAGAATTGATCTATCGCCAACGCCTAAGCAAAATTGGAATGGGTGCGAGGCAAACACGATCGATTTTCCGGAATCTGGCAAGATTGACGTCGGCATCCAACAAAGGGCGCGATATATGGGAGAACCTGATTCTTGACGAGGTAAGCTAATCAAAGAACAATACGTACCTGAAAGCGTAAACCGGACGTAGTCATGAACGAAAACATTTTGTAGGCATCGAGAATAGTGAATGACCAAGAAGTGACCCGAGGCGCCTTCCCCACTGGTGCCTTTGTGAGCTCAAGTACTATTACGCCGGATTTTTTTAGTGATGGACATGAAGCGATTAGGACCACCCAGATTCAATCGGGGATGAAATTCCTTCATGCGCTCATCCAACGGAAAATCGCGCACGCTATGAACAAAAAGGATCTGGCCACCTGCGAAGACGACGAGGTGAACGTGGGTGGACCTGGCTCACTCTCCGACGAAGCACCGCTTGGGGAAAGTCAAATCGAGGGTGCGGTAGATGAGGCCACCGTCCTATCAATGGAGAACCTGGTGGCAGTCAAATCCACGCCGAGCTCTCAGGCTGCCCATAAACTTGCAAAAGTGAGTGAAACATGAGTACCTGGCACCGAATTATTCCCTGACCGATGTTTGATTTCGCTGGAGGCAGGTGCCGACCATGGTGTGCGCCATGATAGCGGTGACTTGCAATCGAAGATGTAACGCGATCCCTGTGGCTAACGGCCTCATGACATTAGCAAGCGGGGTCTCGTGCCGGGTTAATGAATGGCTTCACGCGCTGGGCCTTACCACTTCGAGGACGGCAATTCTTCAGGCTCTCGAACACTTTCGTGTGTTACAGGAAACGCGCATGATGGACTTATTCAAACTGAACCACAAACTCCGGCCTCTGTTGTGTTATGACAATGTGGATATCAATTTGAAAATTCATAAAACTCGAGTCGAAAAAAATACTCGCCTTTTCCATGGCACATGGGGGTACTTCAAAGTCATTGAGCCCTGCCTCTTACAAGCGATACCGCCCGATACCCTTGGACTGCCCGCCTTTTTGGAAGCCATGCGAGCGGCTGACCGTCGACCGGTCAACTTGGGAATGTTCACGCCGTCGCCTGCCGAGAGTCAACACTGGCGATTAGCTATCAAGGCACAGCTGTCCAAGTGCATGAGGGAATATATTGAGCACTTGCCTGGCGGACTTCACGCTCAAGACCTGCCGGCTTTGGTGGTCAAACCACCTGAAATCGATCCCATCGCCATGCATAAGCCCAATATACACTTCCTCAGGATGATGGATGCACCCGATTCATCAGCTGAGGGTGTGTCACGTGTTCTTGACCAGATCATGGGTCAAATTGGTCTCGACAACGATGCTTACTCGAAATCCCTGTTGATAGCGGGCGGAGATGTCGGCTCAAACCAATTGGTGGAAAGCCTTAGGGTGAAGCGACATCCAGCCGTCGACCCCGTTGAAGGCTTATCGTGGGTACTATCGGTTTTCGGTGGTGCCCACACTAATTGGAACTTTACGAAAGCTTTATGGACTCACCATTGGGGACAACCGGATAAAGCAGAAGACACCGGCGTATGGCGATCCGCGTTTTCGCTAGGTTTGGAGTACAAGAAGCCAGTGGCCACCCAGGACTTCAACACAGTCATGCGGTCATGCCACATTGTGCACAAAGCCAACATGGTGTTTGTACTAAAGTCAGCGCGTGTTCACTCCATGCATAGCCAAATGTACTCACCCAAGTCCCATGCGTTAAAGACAGGCGATCGAGTCACTGGACTCTCTAGACCTCAGGAAACAGGCCGACTGTGACAGACTGCTGGACCACGTATGGGACACGTATTTCGCGGCACCTAGCCTGGAGGCAGCCAGAGGGGCGCCGGACCCAACGCAGTACAATCTACGATTGCGCTTGCGAGATTTTGGAACCGTCGTGGAAGCCCACGCTGCGACACGGGCAGGCGACGTTGGCCGTTTGATGGCTATGTGGAAACGGTGGTCCGTCATGGCGCAGGGATTGTCTGGCCTCTCACATTACGGCCGCCATATTCCGCGTCTGGTCCTCCTTTTGGAGGAAGACCTACCCAAACCGCTCGCGAAAGCCATCAAGCATTCCATTCTGATTCCTTCGAACAAGAGAGCGGACCACTGGCTGGCTATAGACGAGTATATGGAGATACATATATGTTGGCTTAAATATCATTACGACACTACGGTGAGGGCTCGGGTCACAGCTGTTCAATGGGTTTTAGGACACTCACTTGCTTCCCCCTCCATGCGTAATACTATGGAGTGATTATTTTCTCAGGGGCGCGGAACGGATATTGACAGGCTGATACTGAGAATATCAAATAACATTCAAATGGTATGTTGAATAGTTCATTGAATTGCAAAGATCATTACTAACAAATATGCGTGGCCCACACTGCGTATGCTACTAGCTACGGAAAATGATGCAGCTCATCAAATCGGAAGCGGGTCAAAAGATCACATACCAGTCTAACCAAAACGGTATCACCCGCACGTCGCTCGCCCTGTTCCTAGCCTATGCTGCAGAGGCTTTGGCCCAAACGCCTGCAAACCGTGCCCGGCCGCCACCGCAGGTCACCAACGTTTGGCAAACGGGCATGCGTAACATGATCAAGCTGACCTTGGCAGACAAAGCCGCGGGTCGATCTTCCCGTTTTTGATGGGGTGCTGAAGATGTATTGTCTTCTTGGGTTAATGACGAAGTTCCGATGGATGATTGAAACGTTGGAGATGCCCAATTTTCGGGGAAAGCAATCCTATATAAGCATTGTTTGTTACACCCATAGGTGTTTGAAGACTTGCAGAACGTACCTGATTCATAGGTGATCTCATGCGAGGGGTATCGCCGAGTGTGTCTTCAGCCACACGTTTGTTGGGATTGTGCGTAGGTGAAATGACTGCCTGCCTTGGGGTAACCGCGTCCCTGCCCACCAAACTTCGTGCGTCGGCGGTGATTTTGGCCTGAGAACGACGTTGCCTGGCTACCTCTTTGGCCAATGTGTCGGCTTCTTTGGCTTGATCTCGTGAGACTTTCAACGCCTTCTTCGCTTGTTCTGCCCTGGCCTTGAGCAAAAGAGCCCCCTCGCAAGACTGGGGTACCTTGTGATTGGTGTGGCCACGAGTCACAGACGCTCTTCGGCTCTTGGCTTCGTCAAACGTGGGTCCGGTCCGCAGGTCGTTCTTCCACTGACAGAAAGCCACAAAGAGATGGTCAAATTGAGCAGGTATCGCCTCACTGGCCAGTACTAGCTCGAAGTCACTTGGCTGGGTTATGATGTCTATATTCTTCGCGATATCCCATGCCAGGTCGCGTCCAAAGAAGTCGTCAGGACTTAGTTCTGAAGATTCCGGGTACTTGAGGTAGAAAAAAGAGTGAAACGCGCGCTCCAGTCGGGTAACCAGAGATTCCAGCATCGGTGAGTCCAGAATCGGATCATCTGTCCCACAGACGCTGGCGACTGGGCGTATATCCGCTGAAGGAGGCGCTGCTGGGACAACGGCAAGGCCTTGTACCAACACGTTGAGCTCGCTTTCACTCATGACGAGGGCTTTGTCGAAATTGTCTTGGGTCATGGCGGGCTGCGCCAGCCACAGCGCCTCGGCCTCGGCAGGGCGGCAGTTTGAACAATCGCAGGCGGACATTCCGCTGGAAAGCTGCCGTTGTGACTCTTCGATGACTGCCGAAGACATCGAATCCAGCGGTATGTACCCATGTCTAAACAAGGCATCCGCCACAGTTAACCTTATGTAACCATATGGAAGATAAATATGAGCTAACCTGAGGTCGACTGCAAGCGCCACCCTAAGGCACACCGGTGTGAGAGCAAGAGCGTCCATTCGGTCGTCGTCGCTCATAACTGTGGGATTGGTGAAGTCGGATAACTCGTTCTTGCCATTGGTCCGCTTGTGCTCGACGAGGAGGAATGCTAAACCCCGCCTCTTGTCGCGGCCAGATCGCCCAGCCATTTGAGTGAAGTTGCACGGATTCTGCCTCCCCACGATTATGACTCGCCTGACTCGCTTCCAGTTTTGTCCAAGGCCGAGGGCCAAAGTGCAACATATCACTGCTAGGCCGCCTCCAACAAAGCTTGCAACAGTATCCAGCTTAGTCTTCGGTCCCGTGTTAGCGTGGTAACGGCGCGCGAAGTCAGAATTCGGATTCCCGGCCTGGGCAGGGTGTCCGCGAGCAGTGTGTATCATAATCAAGTATTCCAAGGTGTTATTCTGCGTCCCAGCATACAAAAGAGTCGGCACTATTGCGTTGGTTGGGACTATAGTATGATGAGGGAAAATGCCGCGGACCGATGCCTTGAGTGGGCGCTTGAAAGTTCTCCGTATGAGTCGAATCTCCGGGCGAGTTAGTTCGGCGCGTGGAAATCGGACGTCGCGTGAATCCAGTTTAAGATTTGCTAGTATGGCATGGATGTGAAGAGGCGTGCACGTCGCTGACATTAAGAGAAGAGGTATAGTAGTAGATGACAGAAACCGCCGGGCGAGTTCCCCATAAGAAGGTCGAAAAACACCTCCGTCCTGCACGCGGGTATGGCTGGCCAGGCGTTTGGCATGGCCACTCTCCACGAGTCCCCATTCATAAATCATATGGGCTTTGTCCACAACGTTCAGAACAAGGCGGTCTTGAAAGCGTCGGTCTTGCCACATGTTGTCGAAGATCTTACTCGTCAAAGCCACCTCCGGGCTCTAACCGACTCCAAACGTTAAGATGTCAGGTTTGGACTTGATAGCACGCGTGCGTGAATATGAACTTACCACATATACAAACGGGAACCGCCCTTGCAGTATAAGATCACAATTCTGCTTTGTGCAGTTGGGGCCATTCAAATTAATGCTTCCGAGGTTGACTTTAGTTTTTTCGCTGACCTGGAGATATTCGATGGTTGACATTCCCAAATTGGGTGTCAGGTTATTGTTCCACCGACACTGTAATAGTCTGCGTTGCGAGCTTACCTGATCATCCCCGAGCGAGTCTAAGGGATTGATACACAGAATGATTGGTGCGTACTTCACATAATCGTGGGCAAGGTAAAAGACCTCTGGCACGCGGCTTTTGCCAAAGCCGGTGCCTGCTAATAAAAACACGGTTCGACCATGTAAAAGGTGGACCGCGGAATCGATTTGCTCGTGTTTGCCGTCGTATCCATAACGGCTCTGAAATAAATTGTTGATTGCCAAATTTTGGCTGGCCTCGCTAGTGTCTGTAAACTCTTTTTTTTTGGGGGGTCGCAACGTGAGTGACTGGCTGATATTTGTGTGAGACATCAAGGCCTCTTGGGTCTTGCTGTGGCTTTGTCGTAGCATCGTGAGGCCTGAGGAAGTCGGAGTGGTGCAATGGCGGTGGTGGACTTGGTGGATTTCGCGCGTGTCCCCAACAAACTGCAGTTTGCCCAATCGGTATTGGGGGTTTTGTCCAAAAATTACAAGTTTGGGACGTGAGTTGGGAGTTTTGGGCGCCGCAGTGGTGTCCAGTCATGTACGGCCCCGGTCTTAGGCCCAAAGCAATTTTTTGTCTTATCTTTCATGTTTTTTGAGTTAATGAAAATCCGAGAAGGGCAAATTCTAGCTGGCAAGAGTGCGAATGTCTTTCATTAGAGACTATGTGAGCTTTTGTTTGCGAGATTTGAGTGCAGTGAGATGCGTAGAATTTGGCCAGATGTACCGGCCGATCTCACGCCAAAAAAACGAGATAGCGTCTAAGTCCCTCGTTTGAGCGGCTTGTTCGCTCAAGAGGGACTTAGTTAAGTTTGGTTCTTGACCTGATTATCTCCGAGAGCATCCAAAGGATTTAAAACTAAGAAGGTCTCCGCAATTCTAGTTTTCCCGAAGCCTGTCCCCGTATGAAAGAATACATCATGTCCTCTGACCAAGCGTTCCACCACCTCAACCTGCAGATCCTTTGGCTCTTGGTTGTAACGATGACGAAAATAATTCCCGATCCTGGCACGAAGTGTCACCAAGTTTCTCGAAGTATACGTGGGTTCAGTCTAACACGACCACTGGGTGCTGTGCCCTGCTGTCCGTTTTCCTCTATATCCGAATCGCCAGCCTGCGGATCGTTCGTGCTGAGTTCAGGAGGTGTCATCTGCAAGAAGAAGAAGTTGGTGGTTATGTGGCAAGACTACCTCGACGTTGGCCGGACCAAGGCTAGGTGAATTCATTTGAAGCAGTTTAAAGTAGAATTTTAACTAGTAACTGACGAGAATTCACCCAAATCACCTCACTCAATCCTCTTGCTCTTGCAAAAGGACTCATATTCAGTCGATGAACTTTGTTCAAAGATCAGGATTGTTCATTAGAACAATCTGAAGAGTTTGGTCTCTTCAGATATTGTGTAGTGTCTAAACTACGGAAGGTTTGGGAATGTATAGTTCATTTATCCGAGCGAGTCTCATCGGGCTCCTGCTCGCCCACCAAAACTACACGATAATACGCAAGTCCCTCTCCAGGGCACCGAGCTTGTGAAGGTAAGAAAGCCCCTGCGAGTTTGGGACTTGTCCTAACTTAACACTTTCACCATGACCACTTCTTCCTCCTCACCAGAACCTTCGAGCTCCGTACTGGATAGTCCGTACATAGATAGTCCTAGTATCCACTCATCTCATCTTACACAAATTCACTCGGCTCAACCTAGCTGTTCTCGATCGTCTGGAAGTTATCTTTATCAGGGCCATCGACCTGAAAGCTTTATTCTGAGGGATGGCGATGATGGTTTGATGCTCGAATGGCGGGCACGTCAGCGTACTTTTGATGGTAAGTGATATACTTCTATATATCATGCTTTCATTGAGATTCCTAATAAACTAGAGCTTTCTTCGATTTCAATTTAAACAGGAGCATATCTTAGAACTTCTCTCACTTGCTCAATATGTGCTTTGTTCATCTTGAAATTATCTTCTAGAAAGTTTGATAAAAGTAAATGCTTCTCACTTTACCTTTTAACTCGATTCAACCAGTAATCCATCTGAA